ATTGAATAAGAGCATTATCGTCATTCGTTGGTAAAAATATATGGGTCAGCTCTAAAAATTTTAGGATTATTTTTTGCTTCAGAATAGTTATTCCCAAATTTTATTTCAATAGTTATTCCCATTTATGCATGAGCATATATATAAAGGTAAGGTGACGCTAGAGAGACAAAATTTTGAAACTTAATTTTGTAAATTAAATGATATGGTTGTTGATAATTGGATTGTTACTTAAGTATTGATTAATGTACTTATTTTACTATTGGAACACACCATTCAGTTTATAAATTTGGTTTAAAAATTTGGTCTACCTAACGTTGCCCTATATATAAGCCCTTGAGGACTACATGAACATTTACAAGTCAATGTTGCATGCAGGAGTATATTACATACGCAAGAGCCTCATCAAGCTGGACATTGGCTCCATAAAATTTGGTACGAGATTTTGGTCATCGAAATGTATAATGTCAAATGATCGGAATTGAGAAAAGTAATACGAACCATCTATTTATTTATTATAGTTTTTTTCTTAAAAAAAAGAAAAGAAAAAAAAGGACAACTGATGGCAAGCCACGGTTATCCACCTATTCTAGGGGCCGGAAAGACTCACATAAACATTTAAGCCTTCCCCTGGCCACAAGTCTGGAGGGAGGCTGAAATAAAAATTCCTTATAGAGGTTATTATACAAAGTGTTAAATAATATAAACAGTTACTGATCATAAACAAAAATTCCTTGAATTAGCTATGATGTAATTTGTGTGGAAATTTCTATATAATTCTTCTGGAGTCAAGTATCTCTCTAATCGTATATGGGAGCTTGCCGGATTGTTGTGTAACGTTTGGTTACTCAATCTATAAAGACTAGAATTAATTATCAGTCCCACCTATAATTAAAGAGTCAATTAAATATAGCTATACATTAGTTAATTCGCCTAATTTCTGAAGGAAGAGCTCGGCAATTCAGGGAGGTTGCATATTTCCTGGAAGATGGGTTACAATGCAGAAACACGCATGCACGAAAGTTCCAGTCTATAAATACCAAGACGACTTCTCTCAAAGCATAACTCAAAAATCTCTCTCTCTCTCTCTCTCTCTCTCTCTCTCTCTCTCTCTTATCTGATGGAAAGAAGCGGTAGCGTAGAGCGCCCCCCAGTCTTAGGAAAGATAGTCAGAGTTCTGAGTATCGATGGGGGCGGAATAAGAGGACTCATTCCGGCATGTTGTAAAACTAAAAACTGAGTTATCTGCAGAATGAGTAAAAGGAATGCGATACTGATTTATTGACTTGAAGTCTAATTAAATACAAATGCTAAGAACTAAAAGCTAGAAAATAAAGCAACATCTAATCCCATGACTAACAACTCCGACTAATTTGGGATTCTGCTATGGAATAGGTAAAAGCAACATACTTCCTAACAAACAGGAATTTATTGAAAAACAAACAACTAAATATCTTAACACCCTCCCTTAAACTGAATGCCATCTACGCAATCAGTTTAAAAAGGAACTTGAACAAACTCCAAGTAATCCACGCAGCTTCTCAAATGCTTCCAGCTTTAGAGGTTTGGTCAGGATATCTGCAACTTGGTCTTCACTTCGACAATAAATCAAATCAATGGTTTTTTCAGTTGTAAGATCACGAAGAAAATGATACCTCACATCTATATGTTTGCTTCTTCCATGTAAAACTGGATTCCTGGATAGTTTGATAATTGAACTATTATCACAATGAATCACAGTAGGCCCATGTTGATAAAAATGTAACTCTTCAAGAATCCTTCTCAACCAAATTGCTTGACATGTAGAAGTTGCTGCAGCTATGAACTCTACTTCAGTTGAGGACAAAGTAACAACTTGTTGCTTCTTTGATGCCCATGATGTGGCACCTGAACCCATCATAAACACATGGCCAGATGTGCTCCGCCTATCATCTAAATCACCAACATAATTGCTGTTAGTGAAACCAGTCAAAATAGATCCTCCATTTTTCTTGTAGAAATCCGTTGTTCCCTTCAAGTAACGAAACACTCTTTTAGCAGCTCTAAGATGCAACTCAGTTGGTCTTTCCATATACCTGCTAATCAGACACACTACATACATAATATCGGGCTGAGTGGCTATCAAGTACATTAAACTTCCAACAATTTGTTTGAAGTAAGTACTATCAACCCTTTCTCCATCAAGATCAGTTGTGAGCTTCAATCTCGATTTAGTTGGAGTCCCAACTGGATTACAATTCTCCATGTGAAACCTCTCCAAAACCTCCTGAACATATTTCTGTTGCCCAATAAAAAATCCAGTGGCTGTTTGCATTACTTCTATACCAAGAAAATATTTCATCTTTCCCAGATCAATCATGTCAAATTCAGCTATCATAGAATTCTTAAAATCAACAAACATAGCCTCATCATTGGCCGTGAAAATGAGATCTTCAACATATAAGCAAACTATCAGGATTTTACCTCCTTCTCCAGACTTGATGAATAGAGTGTGCTCATATGATCATTTGCTGAAACCTGCCTATTCAAAGTGTGATTCTATACAACTGTACCAGGCTTGAGGTGTCTGCTTCAGTCCATATAACGCCTTCTTCAGTCTGTAAACTTTATGTTCATTACCTTTTATCACATAACCAGGAGGCTGCTCAATGTAGACTTGCTCAAGTAGTTCACCATTAAGGAAGGCCGATTTCACATCAAGTTGGAAGACAGGCCAATTTTTCGTTATACAATAAAGATTATCAAATCTCTAGCAGGACCAAAATACAAAGGAAAATATCTGCATAGCTTGATCAGAGAAAAACTGGGCAACAAAAAATTGCACGACACATTGACTAATGTTGTCATTCCCACGTTTGACATCAAGAATCTCCAGCCAACCATCTTCTCCAACCATAGGGTACTTCACCTTCTTTATGATATATTCACTATTTCTAGATTTTTTAGTATATGCCAAAATTATATGTGGAAGCACTATAAAATTTGTTCATGTCCAAAAATTATTTAAGCAAATTACTTATATGGTTGTAATATAATATGATATGCTTATTATTTTGATTGACAGGTGAAAAGGAAGCCATCCTACGATGCCTTACTCTCTGACATATGCATTGCATGACACACCCCGACCTAGATCAGGGCGTGCGAGTGCTCCCAGGATGGGTGACCCATCGGGAAGTTCTCGTGTGAGTTCCCAGAAACAAAACCGTGAGGGCGTGGTCGGGGCCCAAAGCGGACAATATCGTGCTACGGTGGTGGATCGGGCCCGGGTTGTGGTGGGGGTCCGGGCCGGGATGTGACATTGCAACCTCAGCAACACCAACTTATCTTCCAACTCATTATTTTAAAACCAAGGACGCTGCAGGCAGAGATAAAGAATTCAACCTTATAGATGGCGGCGTGGCTGCAAATAATCCGGTATGTATAATATTAGAGGAGGAGTTATATATATTGCCAGAGACTCTCAATCTACACCGTTGCTTTTAAAAGTAAACTTAGCGTTTAGAATAACTTAAACACTTAAAATACTTTGTGTTGCAGACTTTACTTGCTGTTTGTGAAATGAAAAACGAAATAAAGAAGACGTCTTTCCCGTGAAACCTGTGGACTATGGGAGATTTCTAGTGATGTCATTAGGAACTGGCTCATCAAAAGCTGAATTGAATTACCATGCACGTTCAGCAGCAAAATGGGGCCTATTGAATTGGTTAACCAGTGGTGGCTCCATTCCAATTATTCATGTTTTCAGTCAAACAAGCGCAGAGACATGGTTGATCTTTACCTTTCTGGAGTTTTCCAAGCCCTTCATTCTAAAGAGAAAAAAAAAAAAAAAAAAACACTATCTTAGAATTCAGGTACTGAACTTATCATGCGAAATGCATTTATAAAAAGTGGGTATAAAAAAAAACTGACCTAAAAAATGTGTTTGGTAAATACTTAAAAACAACTCATTTTCACAGTTTTGGATGAAAAAAAACTGAAAACGTGAAGCAGCAAAAATGAGCTTATTCTCACAGCACAGCAGAAACTGTTTTTTTTTTCAAAGCACAACAATATCAAACGTAGGATGATACCCTTCATGGGACCATATCTTCTGTGGATATAGCCACAAAGAAGAATTTGGCCAATCTTGTGAAAGTTGGTGAAGGGCTATTGAAACAACAAGTTTCTCGGGTTAATTTGGACAGCAGTAAATTTGAGGCTTCTAATCATGAGACAAATGCAGAGGCTCTTATAAGGTAAAACATTTATCGTTAAACTTGCAGATTTATTTATGTAAATGATGATCAGTGGGAAGTTGTAACTTAATTAACCATATAATTAACTATAATTTTCAGGTTTGCTAAGCTACTCTCGAAAGAGAAGACGAGTTGCCAAGCAGGGTCAACCAACGGGCATGCTGAAAGTACTTACTGGTTGATTGTTACCTAAGACGATAACAAGTCGTAATTCTTTAAGTTATACTGTTTGGAAATGTAAATTACAATAAATTATTGATAGTTCGAGGGTATGGGGGCAAATGGCCACCATATATACTTCACTCTTTCAATATTTGTTTGTGTTCGAATAAATCCTGTTGGGATATCACTCTAATAGATCTCTCTGTATTCGATATATTCATTCTTTTTGTTAACTTGTTGCTTGTTTGTTGGTTCCTCAATAAAATTAAGCTTTCATTTTAAAAACATGGACTACAGTCTACATGTGGATGCAAATTTCTTCATTCTTATTCTTAGACGAAAATGCACCTACAAAAACACACTACTACAAAATTATCTATAATTGGCGGTCCAAAAACCGACAAAAAACGTATATTACTGTCGGATTTTAAGCAAAATCCGACAAAAAATGAATGCAGTGGCGGATATAATAAGCGACAGAATTGCCAATGTCAGGAAATGAATTTTCTGACAGAAGATACTCTAAAACTGACAAAAATTGTGTCGCATATAACCGACAAAGAATATATTAATAATAAATAAAACCAAGCAGAGAATATATTAATAATAAATAAATCCGAGCATTTCTGTCTGTTAAAATCTACAGAAAATATTAAAACCGACAAAAATTATGTCGAATAAATCCAAAAAAGAATTTATTAATAATAAATAAATAAGAGCATTTATGTCGATTAAAACCGACAAAAAATATATTAATAATTAAAAAAATATAAACCACTTTCTGCATTTTCCATATCCTTCCATATTCACTGCACTTTCACATGAACTGACCCTCAACATCAAGTAGCATAATCACATCCCAGAGAGACAATGAGCATCGAAGAAACACCAAGTAACTGAAGCCTCTTCCGGTTGAGAACATTCATAGATAGGAATCTATCAATATACATAACGGTGAGGAAAAGAGTGTTAGAAAGGAGTTTATATTCCTCTGCAACATCAACCAACCAGTCCACTAAGACTCCTCTCATATTGGCAGTGACATCCTTTTGAATCTTTGTCATGTAATCGGGTAAAGGTCTTCGATCTTCATCCGCCTGAATGTTAACCCATCATCACCATTAGCCCAGATGCCCCAAAACCCAAAATAACCCCCAAATTCCAATTCAAACCAAAACAAAATACTACGAGACTTGCTAAATTAAGCGTCAAACTTTTTGCTAATCAAAAGTTGCATAAACTATCACCAGAAAGCTTCAGCCTTTATCCTTAATTCAAATTTCAGAGTAACCAGAAGAACCGCTAGTAAATTGAAAGCCCAAACATTAACAAAACCCACCTCCAATTTTCCAGTAAATTCCACTTCAAACCAACCCCAGACTACAGATACTCCAGAAGTTCCTATGTATAGCTTAATCTTTGGCTAATAAAAAATGACATAAACTATTCACCAGAAAGCTTTAGCCTTTATCCCTAATTCAAATTTCAATGCAACCAGAACCCACAGATAAATTAAGAACCCAAAAATCAACAAAACCCAGCTCCCATTTTTCCAATAAATTCTAATTTAAAAAAGAAAGCTACAATTCGATAACCCTTTACATCGAGCTTCTGAAGATACTCATAAATGTCACGAGCATACAGCGCACACATTTGGTGGTTATCCGACACCGCATCAACGTCCTTGGCCGCCTCCGGCTGCTGTATCGTTTTGGTCAGGGGCACTACTTTCTTCGCCTTGCCTTTGGCGCTGCCTTTCTGGATCTGCTTCTCCGCCCCGGACATTTTATTCGCCAGAACGACGGCATTCGGGAGCTCTCCCAACACCACGCGTTTTTTGGTGGCCGGCTGCTCCAGGGTCACTGCAACCTCGGGCCTTCTCTTCATCGACCTCGTGACACGCAGGCAGTTCTCCTTGTCCGCCATGGCTGGCGCTGTTTGAATTCGCAAGGTTTTGGGTCGGAGACTCGGAGAAAGAGAGAGAGAGGGTTTTGGGGAGTGAATGTGAGGGAGGAGGGAGAGTTTTGTAGTTAGCAAAATGAGAGCGTCATTTTATTCTGGAAAATTTAATTACTGTAGTTAAAACCGGCAGAAATAATTTTTAAAATATAAAATCGATAGAAACATTTTAATTACCGTCGATTATAACTCATAGAAAAAAAATGCAGCAAAAATCCTTCCAACATTCCCTTCAAAAATTTTAATTTCTCCCCAAAATTTTGTTACGATTTTAAAAAATAAAATAATAATTGTTTGGTTTAATAAATAATATGTATTTAAATAGAATACATTTTTAAAAATTAAATAAATAATTGTTTGGTTTAATAGATAATAATCCATGTAAAATATGCAATAAAGAAACAAAAAGATAATTGTACACTGAAAATGTCATCACACAAACTAAATATTATCTAATCAATACTTGAAAAATATAAATACATATTTAGCACAAATTACTTTTCCCACTTACAAATTTAGGCAAATTTAACGGAGATATGCATTCTACGAAACTAGTTTCAATGATCAAACCGTCAAACTTGTTTGTAGATACTACAAGATCGCATATGTAAAAAATCGTAAAAAACAAACATTCAAAGACTACGTAACGGAACAAAAGTTTTTTACGGTTATAAACGAAAAATCACAATTTAACGGTTATTTTAGCTCCAGTTTTAATGATTTTTTACATCTACACACCTCGACCCTATAAGAATGCAATGAATAAATTTGATCTTCAATTTAAAATATTTACACTAGTGAATACCACAAGTCTTACTTTATAATTGATGGAAGTATAATATTAACTCTAAGTGTTTGTTTAATCTACCGTTTTGACATGATATACATTCTACGAAACTTTTTCAACGATCCAACTATCAAACTTATTTGTACACACTCCGAAATTGCATACGTAAAAAATTGTAAAAAACAAACATTCAGAGATTACGTAACGGAACAAAAGTTTTCGATGGTTATAAACGAAAAATCACAATTTAACGGTTATTTTAACTCCAATTTTAATGATTTTTTTACAGCTACACTCCTTGGCCCTATAAGAATGCAATGAATAAATTTGATCTTCAATTTAAAACTTTTACACTAGTAGATACCACAAATCTTACTTTATACTTGATGGAAGTATAATATTAACTATTAAGTGTTTGTTTAATCTACCGTTTTGACGCGATATGCATTCTACGAAACTTTTTTCAATGATCCAACCGTAAAACTTATTTGTACACACTCCGAGATTGCATACATAAAAAATTGTAAAAAACAAACATTCAGAAATTACGTAACTGAACAAAAGTTTTCGACGGTTATGAATGAAAAATCACAATTTAACGGTTATTTTAGCTCCGATTTTAATGATTTTTTACAGCTACACTCCTCGACCCTATAAGAATGCAATGAATAAATTTGATCTTCAATTTAAAATATTTACAATAGTGGATTTTATACTTAATTGAAGTATAACATTAACTCTTAAGTGTTTATTTAATCTATCGTTTTAATACGATACACATTCTACGAAACTTTTTCAATGATCTAACTGTCAAACTTGTTTGTACACACTCCGAGATCGCATATGTAAAAAATAACAAAAAAACAAACATTTAGAGATTAGGTAACAGAGCAAAAGTTTTCGACAGTTATAAACGAAAAATCACAAATTAACGGTTATTTTAGCTCCGATTTTGATGATTTTTACAGCTACACTCCTCGACCCTATAAGAATGTAATGAATAAATTCAATCTTCAATTTAAAATATTTACACTAGTGGATAAATCTTATTTTATACTTATTGGAAGTATAACATTAACTCTTAAGTGCTTGTTAAATCTATCAATTTGATAGGATATGCATTCTACGAAATTGGTTTCAACGATCCAACCGTCAGATATGTTTGTATATACTCCGAGATAGCATGTGTAAAAAATCGCATAAAAAAAAATATTCAGAGATTATTCTGGCGGTCGTCCAAAATCTTACTTTGTTCGTGTCGGTTATATCCGATAGGGCCATGAGTGAAAAAAAATTGTTTAAAACATGTGTTTATTTATTTATTTTTAATCAATATAACAATTTAAAATAATAAAATCAGACATGATAGAGTACACCAAATGTTCATGTGTGTTTATGTGCTAGACAATGTGCTTTGTGACGCATTGAAAAAAATTGTTTGAATTTCTTTGTATCTTGTTGCTTGCTTGTGAGGGAGCATAATCCTTATTACAAAAATGATAGATCTTCAGATTGTAGTCTGTTGTTATTATTCTCTCAGAAAATTTATGGCTCGTGGGAATTGGGTTCATTAGACTTTAGGGTCATGAGTGAAAAAAATAATTTTAAATATGTGTTTATTTATTTATTTTTAATCAATATAACATATTCATTTATGTCTGTTATAACCATCAGAATACTAAAATAATAACCGCCAGAAAGTAAAATAATAAAATAGTCAATTTCTGTCGGTTATAACCGCCAAATTTAACTTCAAAACCACCAAAATCTTCAAAAATATTAAATATCCAACAGGATTTTTTTTATATCCGCCATTAAATATCCGCCAGGACTTTATGTCGGATATAACCGACATGATTTTTCTAATATCCGTCACTAATTAAATGATGTGTCGGATATATTTTATCCGACATGATTTTTCTAATATCCGCCACCATCATCCGCCACCTAAAGCTAATATTGTAGTGGTGATAATTAACACCTTAGGTCAATGCTAAGAGCCTCACGCGCCCACGATGAATTGGGGGGGGGGGATTTTGGCCGAAGAACTTCCGATGCCAAAGTTAGAATTTTTTAGAGAAAAGTGTTTGGAGAATTTAGAGAATTTTGCAAGAGGATTCCACTTAGGTTTTTTGGAAAAATGGAGTGGTATTTATAGGGGTGTGGCCGGCCCCTTTTGGAGAGGTGGGAACCGGCCACATTTAGTGGTTTTAGGGTGTAATTATAATATCTTGCAATTAATTAGAAAATTAATTGATTAATTAGAAAATTAATTGATTAATTAGAAAATCAATTAATTAATCCTATTTTGAATGAATATTTGGAGGTTACCTTGTGAGGAGGATTTGATGAGGATGAATGAAATAGGTTTTGAATAAATACCTATTTTGATCACTTTTGGCTCCACACTATGTTCTTCATCATGTACGCAAGAGTATCAAAAATACGATTACAAGAAGCAGGCATCCTAGTCACGCAGCATTACGTATATATTTGGAGGATATTAAACCGAATATGCAGAGTGAAATGATGAGATTTTGGGATTAATTTCCTGAACTCCCACACACAGCTTTTTCTTTCTTCTTCTTTTATTTTTTATTTCTTTTTGAAATTTTCAAACTTCTTAATTCAGTGCAAATCACAGTAATCACCTCTTATTTTGTGGCAGAACACAGACCTTAAATATATGGATTAGCGTGAAGTGGAAAAAATAGCATGAATACAATGTTTGTTGTAGTTTGACTACACATCAATTCAAAAGCGTATGTGTGTTATGTGGGTCCAAAATTGACATGCCATACTAAAGCTATGTTAACTCCAACAAGCTGAAAAATAAAAAACCTTAACTTTCGGGATATGCAACAATAAATAACCTTCATTGAATGTCTCTCCATTCTTCTAGTTTACATCAAGCTACTCCTCCATACATGATGACATATACATCATTATCTATAGATCATACAAATATCATCTTTGATAATCATGATGACATATACACCATTCTGTTTGATAATCATTATCTAAAGATCATCTTTAGAAAAAAAATCATTCAATTTGAAGACTGTTAGCATCCATATATATAGATCATACAAATTGACCGTTATTATAAGTACGTTGCTTAATTATCACCATAACCATTGATTTGTTCAACACTTATGAATGACTAAACGGTCTTTAAATTGAATGAATTTTTCTAGATATGAAAATGAAGGGTTCTAGTTATGATGTTTATATGTAAGACTATATTAGAGCTACACACTTGTATGTAATGTCTCTTATAGATTAAGGATTGCAGAGATTGATTTTAATAATACTTATACGCTAATGAGGAGAGTGTATTACTAGGTTTTTATAACTATAGAAGTCTTGATACGATTAGTAAACCTAATTAGATACGAATCTAAAGTTTAGGCGATAAAGTCTTGTTTGAGTAGAATTACATGATGGGAAGTTCCCTACTCAGATTCTACCTCTATTACTATATAACAAGGGTCACTGCTCTCACATTCGGCACCCAGAAATAACCCTTCTAGCCCCATTGAATAGAGTTGTGATGATGAGTGAAAAAGAGTAGAAGATCATTTGTTTTTGCTATGGAGTTGTCAGGATACAAGGACAAATGTAGATACTCAAAAGATTGCTCAACGAATTGCAGTTCTAATCCAGATAAGGGTTTTTAGTTGATTATGAATTTCATTCTTACACTATACAATGAAATGTTTCCACGTTTCCATTTAAGAAAGAATGCATTACATGTAAGAGCCAAAAATGTCATAATAAATTGTACGTATGTGTCTCAATATAAAAAAAATAAAATTAAAAAGAAACCTTCCAAAACTTTTCGCTGATGTTGGGTTAGGCAAGATAGTGTGCATTCCCTTTTAGACTCAAATTTACTGTTTGGAGTTTATAGCAGTTCAAACTTCAAGCCATTGTTTTTTGAAACTAAAATAAATATTGTCTCTCCCTTTCACAACATACCGGACATTTGGTTAATTTTAATTCTTCTGAATGTAAAAAAATAAAAAATAAAAACATAAGGAGATGAAAGTCCTAATTCAACAGCGAGAGGGTGATTCAAAACTTGCAAAAGAAGAAAGATAATTTATCTCACCTTAAATAAATAAATATAGTATGATTGGATAAAACCATCGATTACATGTCGTCCTATGTATCAAGCTGATTGTTGAATTGGCTTTTGGGGCCATGGACCATTTGGTTGACGCAACAGTAATACGGGTGACGTTTTTTCTGTTGTTTGAATTGAACGAATAAA